TTGTAGGTGTTAAAAAAAAAGTAGGAAACAGGGGGGAAATTAATTTTCTTAGATTTGTACTATAACGATTCATAAAAACTTTATGAATAATTACTATAATAATTTATCAATAAATTATTATAATTATTATTAACAACATACTGTATTCTATCAAAAAGTTGTTCAATAATAAATATTATTATATTAAATATTTATTAATAAATAATAGTAAGTTTGAAATTATGAAATAATAGTTATATCATCAAAATACAAAAATTATATACCTCTTTATTATCATAAATTATCCCACATCATTTTATCAAAATATCCCACTTTAAAAATTGTTCCCGATTATCCTACGAAAATATCCTATTTTCAAAATATTATCCCACTTCAACAATTATCTCACTTGTTGTGAAAATATTCCAATTGACTAGTCCCCTACTACATGTTTTATAATCTGCAATCATCAGGCATTGACAATAGCTCATGCACATTATTTGGTCTTCAACAATTTTCATGATCTTTTTCCAACCCAATGAGCTTGGGTTATTATTGTGCCATCATGGTCGTTGATTCGCAACATCTTGCTTTCTTTAACAATCATCATGTGGTTAGCCATACTTGACGGTAGATTTCTTCTTAAATATTGATTTTGCTAATTCCTTTTTTATCCCCTTCACATGCATATCAGCACTCTATTCAGAAGAATAATTATGCCTCTAGGTATAGTGAGCATCTTATTCGCCTCTGATTATATTCTTTGAGATTATTGAGTTAGACATATTCACATGATACTAGATTACAGACCCACACAATCCTCTCTTTATGATTTTTTTTTAAAGAAGTAATGAAGATGTAAATATAAGATCGATAAACTAATCATAAAAGCAAGATACTACTTTGAGTATGTTGCAACTTACCATGATGTCATCTCTCCCAGGTCTTCAGACACGAGAGTAATCAAGAAGTTTAGACTAGAGGCCCAAAGCCCAATTCTCTAAGTTACCCGGCCGATTAATCCACCTACGTCTAAAGTAAATTGAGTCAGTTGCGCTGCACTTATCTCCAAATATTAATCTATTATTATTCTATCCAAATACACTGGAACGAGTGCTGCTACAGGGACCCAAAATATGGACCATTGGATGAGACATGTGAGGTGTCCTGACGCAGCGCGGAAGTTGTAACCTCGGAATCCACCAAGGGTGTTCTCTGAATCCACAAAGAACGATCTTCGAATCCACGAAGAGCTTCGAATCCACGAAGAAATATTGAGGAAAAACAAAATTTTATTAATCAAAAGTTATGCCTCTAGAGCTTACAAGACTCTTCTTAAATAGAAAAAGAAACAAGACTCCTACAAGGACTCTAATTCCTACAAGAACTCTCAACTTATCAAAAATGGTAAAGAATTCCTAAAACATTAAAACTCCTAAAAATACTCATTATGATTAGAAAAGTTCTCCGGTCAAATCTGAGATCAAATCGGATTTGTTTCCTAAACAAAACAGACTCCTAAAATATTACTAAAAATAGTAAAAAAACGGATAAAACTGTAAATATCTCTCAAACCGTAAGGAATTTGGCGAAACTGAGAACGCAAACCGAACCCAAAGGGGTAGGTTTGGATGGATTTGGATGACTCCGTCTCGTCGAGATAGTCGATTTTCATATATAATTCGTCAAATTCCGACATATACGGTTTGAAAGTTACGGCCGTTTCTTCGAAACAAGTTATTTTCTTCGACCAGGGCTTGTGACTGCCCCACTTTGACATAAACGTGTCTGCTAAGTGTTCTACATCATGTCCCCCTTCTATTGCATAATAACCCGGCATGGCCAGCTCATTATGCAATACGGCGAAGACACAACTCACATGTCCCCTCGATTGGTTTCATATTTTGGGTCCTTAAAGATATTTTCCCACGGGAACTTATCCCTTTAAGCTTTTTAAGGCAAATCAAAATAAAAAAGCTGAACGCGTGCAGGAATAAGAGCGGAAGAAGAAAGGCAAAGGCATCATAGGAGATCAAAAACTTAACAGAAACCCCAAAAAGGCCTGAGCCGAAACACCATCATTGTACAAGTAAAAAGTTGTGCACATAAAAAGCCTAGCCGAAGTCTCATTGGCAGTGGATTTGGTTTGAAGATTCAGAGTTGACGCTTAACTTTTTATTCAGGAGCCCAAGTGGGAAAAAGGCTGAGAATCAACTAACTTTGTTCTCTTTCTCTTTACACCTTTCTGCTCTCCTTTGTTAAAAG